ATAATAAATGATCTGTAGAGTATTTTGAGCTGAAACTTCACAGACACATTCTGGGGACACCAGAGGCCTATATTACATATTGTAACAAGGGGCATAATATGTCTCCTTTAAGGAATCACTTATATTATAAACCTCTGGCACTGTCTTATATGTCTCGGCAAAGGAGAAGTGCTCACTAACACAGATTTAGACAGATTTGTGAACAATATTTGAGAGAAATAGGCCTTTTGTGTACATGGAAAAAGTCTTAGATCTTTGAGTTTGGCTCATGAAATATGGGGGCAAAAACAAAAGTGTTGCGTTTATAATTTTGTTCAGTATAATTTATCTATACATCATGCTACACCCAAATTGCATGCTATAATTTTACTAAACAAAATTTCAGACTACTTCCTTGGTATTTTAATAATGAGGTAGGTCTATTCAAGGTTTTGGCAATGATTTTAAGTCATTTATGAACCTAATTAAATACTTTGTGTACTATATGCATTAGTACATTGACTATGAATTTCCTGTTAAAAGATATTGTGTTATTAGCTTCCTATTAAGTTAATGTTGTAGAGATTATTGGGCCTTTGAGCTAAAGAAATATGGGATTTGTGTCTATTATGTTTTAAAAAATTTAAATGTTTAATAACAATTATTATTAAGTAATAATTGGAAGAACAATGTACCTCACTCCAGAAAAGTTTAATATACATATAATTTACAAAAATGCATCAAAATTATCAGAAATTTGTATAGCAATCTACTTTCCATTGTTACATCAGGATAAATTTTTATGTCCTTTTCACATTTCTCTTTTTTTTATGATTTACTGAAAATTGTATGTTTTTTATTTTCATTTCAGTGTTGATTAAAGAAAAAGAGGAGAATGGAGAACTAAATGAAGAGGAGGAGAAACATTACATCAAAGCTGTAGAAAAACCTTTAAGTTGCTCTCAGACCAACCAAAAAGAATTAAAGAAAAGAAGAGACAGGGTGAAATCTTTCACCTGCACTCAGTGTGGAAAGAGTTTGACAAGCAATAAAAGTTTCAAAGTTCACATGAACATCCACACTGGAGAGAAACCGTTCACATGTGATCAGTGTGGGAATAGTTTCACAAAATCTTCAAACCTTAAGGAACACATGAACATCCACACTAGAGAGAAACTGCATGAATGTGATCAGTGTGGAAAAACATTTTTGAGGGCTTCAAACCTGAAGAATCACTTGAAAGTTCATACGAAAGAGAAACCACATTCTTGTTCTTTATGCGGAAAGAGATTTTCACAGCTGCATATATTAAAACTACATCAGAAGATACATACTGGTGTGAGAGATCATATGTGCTTTGAGTGTGAGAAGACTTTTTTTACAGCTGATCAATTGAAAGTGCACCAGAGGATACACACTGGAGAGAAACCTTACAAGTGTTCACACTGTGACAAGATATTCAGTCAGTTAGAAACCCTGAAAATGCATGAGAGGATCCACACTGGAGAGAAACCTTACAAGTGTTCACACTGTGACAAGACATTCAGTCAGTTAGGATCCCTGAAAAAACATGAGAGAATCCACACTGGAGAGAAACCTTACAAGTGTTCACACTGCGACAAGCGATTCAGTCGGTCAGAAACCCTGAAAACACATGAGAGGATCCACACTGGAGAGAAACCATATCACTGCACTGCATGCGGGAAGAGTTTCACTCATTTATCTAATCTACGCAGTCATAAAAAAAAGATTCACAGTCAATACTGTAGATCATCTTCAGATCCAGCACTTTTAGGTGTGACATTGCATCCTCACCAAACATGACACAATAATGTGTCAAGAAATAAAGTATCTTCTGTATGAATCTGTCCTAACAAAGAAACATCATCTAAAGTCCCAGTAAATAAAGTTCATCTTCAAGACTGCAGTTTGAACTGTAAAATAGTTGTGGGCTTCAGTCCTGAAGAATCACCTGAAAGTTCAGAAAAGCCACATTCATGTTCTTTGTGTGGAAAGGGTTTTTCACATCTGCAAAGTTTAAAATTGCATCAGAAGATACATACCAGTGTGAGAGATCATATGTGCTTTGCGTGTGAGAAGACTTTTACTACAGCCAAAGATTTGAAACGGCACCAGAGGATTCACATTGGAGACAAACCTTACAGTTTCAACTGTGAGATTCAAATCAACTCAAAGATGGATTTCCTCCCCAAAGAACAATGTCTAAAAGTTGCTGTCTAATATAACACCCAAGGTTTTGACTATAAAGGAAGTAACAGTACATCCTTCTAGGTGCAAATTATAATCTACAAGATTCCGTTTACTGTTTTTGGTGCAATAAGTGATATCTATGTCTTATTCTAATTTAATCAGAGATTTATTGGTCATCTAATCTTTTACATCTTTGACACACTCAGTTAGCTTAGGCAATATAGGAGTTTCATCAGGTCTTGTTGAAATATGTAGTTGAGTATCATGAGCATAACAAAGGAAACTAATCCCATATTTTCTGATAATATTACCAAGGGGCAACACATATATTGAAAATAGCAGAGGGCCTAAGATAGATCCTTGTGGCACTCCATATTTTACTGGCATTAATTGAGATGATTCCACGTTTAAATAAACACTGATAATGGTTGGACAGGTAGGATCTAAACCATCTTGAAGCCTGCCCTTGAATACCCTTATAGTTTTGTAATCAACCTATGAATATGTCATGATCTATAGCAGGGCTGTCCAAACTCGGTCCTAGAGGGCCGGTGTCCTGCAGAGTTTAGCTCCAACCCTAATTAAACACACCTGAACCAGCTAATCAAGCTCTTACTAGGCATAGAAACTTCCAGTCAGGTGTGTTGAGGCAAGTTGGAGCTAAACTCTGCAGGACACCGGCCCTCCAGGACCGAGTTTGGACAGCCCTGATCTATAGTGTTGAATGCAGCACTAAGATCAAGTAAAACTAGTAATGAGATGCTTTTTTGCATCAGACCAAGACTGCAAGTCATTTGTAAGTGCAGTTTCTTTGCTATGATGGGGCCTGAAACCTGACTGAAATTCTTCATTGATATCTTGCCAGTTCACTAGGATTTAGTTGTGGTTTCTTAATAAATGGCTTAATAACAACCAGCTTGAATGGTTTTGGGACATAACCTAGAGATAATGACAAGTTAATAATATTGAGAAGCGGTTCTTCTGCTACAGGTCAAGTCAAGTCACTTTTATTTATATAGTGCTTTTAACAATACAGATTGTGTCAAAGCAGCTTTACAGTATCAAATAGGAAGATAGTGTGTCAATAATGCAAAAGGACAATAGCAAACACTCAATTTTCAGTTAAATGCAGTTCATCATTGAATTCAGTGATGTCATCATCCAGCTCAGTTCAGTTTAGATAGTATCTGTGCAGTCAAGTCGACGATGTCGCTGGAAATTAAGTGTTCCCAACTAGAGGCGACAGCAGCAAGGAACCAGAGCTCCATTGGTGACAGAATAGAGAAAAAAAACCTTGGGAGAAACCAGACTCAGTCAGAGGGCCAGTTCTCCTCTGGCCAGACGAACCAGCAGGTTGTTCCATGCTGCAGCAAAGTTAGACTGTGCAGAGGACTCATCTGGTTCCCACGGTCTTGTCCCGATGGCCGTCTAGGAGACAAGGTCTTCACTGGGGATCTGTCTCTGGGGCTCATATAGTTGTCCTGATCTCCGCTGACATTCAGGGCTGTCGAGGTCATCTCTAGGTGCTGATCCACCATCTGGGCTGGATACGGACTGGATCCGGGTGACTGCAGTGAACATCTGATCTGGATACAGACTGGATCTGGTGGCTACGGTGACCTCGGAATAAGAAACAGACTTATATTAGCGTAGATGCCATTCTTCGTATGTTGTAACAAGTACATCGGGTGTTATGGGAAGTCTTCCCAGTTCCGGTTGACCTAATTAATGCAGCCTAAAAATCCTTTAACAGATTTGAATATTAGAAATGTGTTAGTGTGTTATGGGACCCATAAAGATGGGTATTTAATCTAGATTTAAACTGACAGAGTCTGTCTGTCTCCTGAACAATGTTAGGTAGATTATTCCAGAGTTTGGATGCTAAATAGGAAAAAGATCTGCCGCCCTTAGTTGATTTTGATATTCTAGGTATTATCAAATTGCCAGAGTTTTGAGAACGCAGCGGACGTGGAGGACTATAATGCGATAAGAGTACTGGTAACTGATAAAGGTGTACTGAGGTGCTAAACCATTCAGGGCTTTATAAATAATTAGCAAGATTTAAAAATCTATACGATGTTTAATAGGGAGCCAGGGCAGTGTTGACAGAACCGGACTAATATGGTCATACTTCCTGGTTCTAGTAAGAACTCCAGCTGCTGCATTTTGGACCAGCTGGAGTTTGTTTATTAAGTGTGCAGAATAACCACCCAATAAAGCATTACAATAATCTCACCTTGAGGTTATGAACGCATTAATGTTTCTGCATTTCACATTGAGAGCATAGGTCGCAATTTAGACATATTAAAAAATGCAGTTTTACAAATGCTAGAGATATGGTTTTCAAAGGAAAGATTGCTATCAAATAGCACACTTAGGTTCCTAAATGATGACGAAGAATTGACAGAGCAGCCATCAAGTGTTAGACAGTGTTCTAGGTTATTCCATGTGTAGGTTTTAGGTCCGATAATTAACACCTCTGTTTTTTCAGAATTTATCAGTAAGAAATTACTCGTCATCCAGTTTTATAGACTATGCATTCTGTTAGTTTTTCAAATTGGTATGTTTCGCCGGGCCGCGAAGAAATACAGAGCTGAGTATCATCAGCATAACAGTGAAAGGTAACACCATGTTTTCTGATGATATCTCCCAAGGGTAGCATGTAAAGCGTGAAAAGTAACGGCCCTTGTACTGAGTCTTGCGGTACTCCATACTGCACTTGTGATCGATATGATACCTCTTAATTTACTACTACGAATTGATGGTGGTCAGATAAGTACGATTTTAACCATGCTAATGCACTTCCATTAATGCCAACAAAGTTTTCTAGTCTATTCAAAAGATTGTTGTGGTCGATGGTGTCAAACGCAGTGCTAAGATCCAGTAGCACTAATAGAGAGATACAACCACAATCAGATGATAAGAGCAGGTCATTTGTAACTCTAATGAGAGCAGTCTCAGTACTATGAAACGGTCTAAATCCTGACTGGAAATCCTCACAAATACCATTTTTCTATAAGAAGGAATATAATTGTGAAGATACTACCTTTTCTAGTATCTTTGACAGAAAAGGGAGATTCGAGATCGGTCTGTAATTAACTAGACCTTTGGGGTCAAGTTGTGTTTTTTTAGTGAAAGTCTTAATAACAGCCAGTTTGAAGGTTTTGAGGACATATCCTAATGACAATGACGAATTAATAATAGTCAGAAGAGGATCTATGACTTCTGGAAGCACCTCTTTTAGGAGCTTAGATGAAATAGGGACTGTTGTTGGTTTAGATGATTTTACAAGTTTATACAATTCTTCCTCTCCTATAGTAGAGAATGAGTGGAATTGTTCCTCAGGGGATCTATGCGATACTGTAGCTGATGGCTGCATGGTTACAATTTTATCTCTAATAGTATCTATCTTGGAAGTAAAGTAGTTCATAAAGTCCTTACTGCTGTGCTGTTGGGAAATATCAATGCCTGTTGATGCTTCATTTTTTGTTAATTTAGCCACTGTATTGAATAGATAGATACCTGGGGTTATGTTTGTTTTCTTCTAAAAGAGACAAAAAGTAATCGGTACAGGTAACAATTTCTCAATAATTTAGTGGGTATCTAATACACATGATGTTGGTTTAGAAGCAGTGATACGTTTATTTAGCTCTTCCTGTCTAGTTGTAAAGCACTGCGATTTTTCTTCGGGGATGATAAAAGACGCTGAGATACAAGACGCTGTAGATTCTACATTTATTATTGTATTTCTGATGCTATTTTATCAGTGAAGTAATTAATAAAGTCATTGCTACTAAACTGTGAGGGAATATTTAGTTAATGTGACATCTGATTATTTAAATCTAGCCACTTTGATAAATAAAAACTTTGGATTGTTTTGATTATTTTCTATGAGTTTGCAGATGTGCTCGACCCTGGCTGCTTTTAAAACCTGTCTATAGCTGGACATGTTTTTTTTCATGCAATTCCAAAATCTTCCAAGTTTTTCGTAATCATTTGCACTCTAGATTACGAGTTTCTGTCTTGATAGCATGGGTATTACCGGACCCCGGTGGAACCTGTTTTGAGTAATGGAGAAATTAAGAAAATACACTTTATTTAAGAATAAAATTACCATTAATTATTGTTACATAAACGTTATCTTGTGAATTGTATCTCGCCAACCATTTCTATATAAAATTATGAAAGTCTATGATGCGTTTTTGCTATTCACAGTCCAGAAGAGAGATCTCTCTCACACTTCAGGGCTGTGTGATTAATCTAATTTTATTTTCGATTTTGAGTTTGGCTTCCAATGATTATGAAAACCAAATATTTTAAGTAAAGCCATTATTGTGCTACCTTCCATCTACCTTTCCTTCACAGAGCTTTTGTTCTTCCATAAAAGTCAAAACATAACATCGTAGGATCTCAGAGTGAATCAGACAGTGATAACGTGACCATAACTGAAACTGACCAAGAAGCTGAATTACACAGGAGGCCCCGAGTCCACATTTAGGACCTTAAAATCAGAGATTCTGTCATGTGACGCCAGCAAGTCTGAAGCTGATTTTACATTACATTCATTCATTCTGTTTCTTTTGCAGGCTATTATTTACCTGAATACTGCTGTTAGACCTTACTGAAAAACTTGCAGTGTTATTTAATTTGTATGTTTGTTTTACTTATTTTTATTGTTCTTTTGTTTGTGCTTTGTTTCTGTTTTCTTATTGTATTATTTTCTTACATAAATGTTATGTAAGGGAATGCCTCTAATAATGCCTTTACACTGGTACATTTATTTGCTATAAATTATTTATTTTACAATGTCATATCACAAAGCCATGTTATTTCTGTTCTATTTTTTGTAACAAAAATAAATAAATGTAAAAAACATATAATAATTACCGATAAGAAAAAATGTCAAAGTACCAGACTGATAATCAGTATTGTAAGAGTAGTAATACCATTAAAACCTTATACCCATCCCTACTTGTAAGTCAACAGGGTGCGATCAATCAAGTTAGTTTTCACTTTTACTTAGCTATTTT